GTGTGGACCCGTGGATTAAATCCACGGAGTTGCGCCGTCGCAGTCGTCGGTGCCGTCATCGTCGTAACCGTCGGCGTCGGCGGCGGCGGCGTCGGCGTGTTCTTCGGCGTTGGCGTCGCCATCGCCGTCGTTGTCGGCGCCGTCGTTTTGCGAAGCGTCGTCGTCGTGGTCGTCTGGGTTCTGTGCGGAAGGTTTGGGGGCCGTCTTACGGGCTCGTGGAGGTCTCTTAGGCCGTGCTTGCGGTGTCTCAGACGCTCCGGCGCCGTTTCGGGCCTCTGCGGGCGTCTTCCGGAGCCGTTTCATGGCCTCTGGGATGCCCTCGTGGGCCGTCGTGGGAGCCTCTTCGAGTTCTGTTGGGCCGTCTTGGGGCGGTCTATGAAGCGTCTTGGGCCGTCTTGGAGCCTCGGGATGCGAAAACTCGGACATGCCCGAAATGTACGTTTTCCCATGGGAATTTGACGATTGTGGCTTCCCGGGGCTCTGTGCGGAAGGCTTTGGGGGCCGTCTCACGGGATCTTGGAGGTCTCTAGGGCCGTGTTTGTGCTCTGTCAGAAACTCCGGCGCCGTTTCGGGCCTCTGCGGGCGTCTTCTGGAGCCGTGTCAGGGCCCCTGGGATGCCCTCTTGGGCCGTCGTGGGAGCCTCTTGGAGTCTTGTTTGGCCGTCTTGGGGCGGTGTATGAAGCGTCTTGGGCCGTCGTGGAGTTTGGGATGCGAAAACGCGCACATGCCCAAAATGTACGTTTTCCCACGGGAATCTGACGATTTTGGCTTCCTGCGGCTCTGTGCGGAAGGCTTTGAGGGCCGTCGTGCAGGATCTTGGAGGTCTCTGGGACCGTGGTGGGGGTCTCTCAAGAGCACCAGCGCCATGTCGGGCCTCTCCGGGTGTCTTCCGGAGCCGTTTCGGGGCCCCTGGGAGGCCCTCTGGGGCCGTCGTGGGAGCCTCTTGGAGTCCCATTGGGCCGTTTTGGGGCGGCCTATGGAGCGTCTTTGGCCGTCGTGAAGCATCGGGATTTGAAAACGCGTACATGCCCAAAATGTACGTTTTCCCATGGGAGTTTGACGATTTTGGCTTCTCGGGGCTCTGTGCAGAAGCTTTGGGGGCTGTCTTACGGGATCTTGGAGGTCTCTTGGGCCGTGTTGGGGGTCTCTCAGGAGCTCCCGCACAGCTTCGGGCTTTTCCGGGTGTTTTCCGGAGCCGTTTCAGGGCCCCTGGGAGGCTCGGGGAGCCAGGGGCCCACGCAAACCTACAAAGCATCTTACGGATTTATTTGAGTGGATCTATATATATATATATATATGTATGTATGTATGTATGTATGTACGTACGTACGTATGTATGTATGTATGTATGTATGTATGTATGTATGTATTTATGTATGCATGCATGCATGCATGCATGCATGCATGCATGCATGCATGTATGTATGTATTCATGCATGCATGCATGCATGCATGCATGCAGGCAGGCAGGCAGGCAGGTATGTATGTATGTATCTATGTATATATGTATATATGTATGTATGTCTGTCTGTCTGTCTGTCTGTCTGTCTGTCTGTCTGTCTGTCTGTCTGTATGTATGTATGTATGTATGTATGTATATATGTATTCATATACACAATTGTATGTATGTATGTATGCATGAATGTATGCATGCATGCATGCATGTATGCATGTATGCATGTATGCATGTATGCATGTATGTATGTATGTATGTATGCATGTATTTATGTATGTATGTATGTATGTATGTATGTGTGTATATATGTATGTATAACTGTATGTTTGTATGTATGTATGTATGTATGCATGCATGTATGTATGCATGCATGTATGTATGTATGTGTACATATATGATATCAGAGGCAAGCCCCACTCATAATCTTTTTAGAGCTATAGGGCTATCAGGCGATAGAGCCATAGTGCTATAGGTCTATAGGGCCATATGACTACAGGGCTATAGGGCGATAGGGCTATAGGGCGATAGGGCTATGGGGCTATGGGGCTATGGGGTGATAGGGCTATGGGGCCATAGGGCTATAGGTCTACAGGGCTATTGAGTGATAGGGCTATAGGGCTATCGGGCTATATGGCTATGGGGCTACCTATAGGGCTATTGGGCTATGGGCAGCTATAGAGCTATAGGGCTACAGGGCTATAGGGCTACAGGGCTATCAGGCTATAGGGCTATGCGGCTATAGGGATATGGGGCTATAGGACTCCTAGGGCTATAGGGCTACAAAGCACCGGGCACCACCTGGGCACCCGGGCACCCGGGTACCACCTGGGCACCCGGGCACCCGGGCGTGCCGCCAAATCGGCGCCGTACCTCACCCAACCATATGAATCCGCTAGGACCCCTACAGAGGCAAGCTTTGATTGGGATCTACATCTCTCTCTCTATATATATATGTATCTATATGTGTTTACATATAAGATACCAGAGAGAAACCCCAAACAAAATCATTTTTGATCTTACGTGAGATCTCTTTGTAATTGCTCC